AACCTCTTTTTCTCCTCCCATCCCTTTGTCAATATACCAGCCCAGCACCAAGCCAGCACTGGGGGGAGGGCCCTGGAGCACATCATTTAAGGAGACACTGTGCCCTGAGATTGAGCGCCCCCTTACGCTGTGAGCCCTGGACCCCCAGCCCCAGCCCTGCCCCAGGACTCCCAGGGGTCCAGCTGTCTGGGAAGTGGGGAGGAGACTGGCCAGGGAGAATAGCTGAGTAATTTTGAGATGCCCCTGAGTGGGACAGGGAAGGGCCAGTAGATGGAATGATTCACTTTCTGGGTCTCCCATCCTGCTAAAATGGTCTGGAGAAAAGGTTGAGGCCCTTGGAAATCGTGGAAGAAACAGTATAAAAGGAGTCTGGAACGCAGGTATGAGTCCAACCCTGGTTATCCTCCTCTGAGTGTTACCTGGCTTCAAGTGACAGGTGGCATTGTTGAGGGACACAGAAGAGAAGCTCACATGATTGGAAATGAGGAGATGAGAAGAGAGAGCCTCACAATAAGGGTGCCTTTTTCCTCCTAAAAAAGAGGCTGCTCTGATGCTGCAGAGGCCTTCACTCAGCAGTCAGGCCAGCGGGGGTCATTTTCCAGGAGGGTGGGCCCGGGTGAGCCTCAGTCTAGGAGTCCAAAGACCTGGGTCCCTGCAAACACCTCTCCTACAGACCCCACCAACCAACACCAGTGCCCCCCACTCCTGATTTCAGGAGTTAACCAGGAACATGGATAGCTCTACCAATGTCCTGGTCATGGCCCCTTTGCCAACTTTACCTCAGAATTCAGGGCTGTAGAACCTCAGGCCAGGGGCTCCCCCTTTCTCTCTCTTCACTTCTTCACTAACAAGACCTCTCTGACCTCCTCCCTGACCTCAGTTAAATATCTGAACCCTGGTCGGTGCGGCTCAGTTGGTTGGAGCATTGTCCCATACACCAAAATGTTGCGGGTTTGATCCCCAGCTGGGGCACGTGCAGGAGACCACCAATTAATGCTTCTCTCTCACGTAGGTGTTTCTCCCTCCCTCTGTCTCTTTGTCTCTCTCTCTCTCTTTTCCTTCCTCTCTCTGAGAAAAGAAAGGAAGGGAGGGAGGGAGGACCTGAGACATAGGAGAAAAGCACTGGGACTTTTATTTCCTCGGGTCATTTCACTAATGTAACTGCTAGGGTCAGCTCACAGGTCCCACCAGGTTGCTGCTAACAATCAGCTGCTAAACCAATAGGAAGCATCTGCTAGTCAACTGCGCACCAAGTGTTGTAGGGAGTATACTACAAGGAGAGAAGCTACTGCTCAGGCTATGCCCTGGCGGGAACGCCTATGTTTATTTAGAGGCTGTGGATGACCTTCTGTATACTTGTGTGGGGACGCAAAAGAAAGCTGCCTTTAAGGAGCTCCGTCTGGTGGAGAGACAGAAGGACCACAAGGACCACACCTGGGCACAAAAGGCAACTGTGAACACCCCCTATAGCATACAGGGTAGTACTCACCCAGGGCAAGAGCCTTGAGAGATGAGTGAGAGTGTTTCAGATGGAGAGGGAAGAGGGGTGAGGAAGGGGAGGGCGTTCCATGCACAGGGGACAGAATTGGCAAAGGCATAGACATGTGGAACAGCCCTGCCCCTGCCCTGCCCTGTATGCTAT